GGGGCCTGGCCCTCAGCTGAGATGGCAATGAGGGAAGTGCTTTATAAAAGGACAGCCACAGGACTTGTGGGCTCAGCACCATGGACAAATTGTGAATCCAGCCTGATGGCTCACCAAGGCCAGCAGGTCCCCTGTGGGTCACAGGCTGACTCTCCTGGCAGCCTCACCCATAACCCTAAGACTTGCTTGGGGGCGCTCCCTTCACTGGCCCTCAGCTGGAGGGAGGCTCTGCTCCGCTCTGCCCTGCTGGGTCCTCACACCTCCCGCTGCGCTGCGGGGAGAGCTGAGTCACTAAGTTTTTTAGGCTGTAGCTTACCTCCTCCATAGAGCCCACAAAGGCTCCTTTCACATTTTCAAGAGAGGGGAGGAAAAAAAAAAAAAAACTGTGGGCCCCTCTTACCAGGCCAGGGATGTGAAATTTCAAACTCTGCCCTGGAGTTAAATTCCCCACCCTCTGGCCCTAAGAAAGCTAAAGATGGAGAAGGGAGGGGGTACCCAGAGCAAAGAATGAAGGGTGAAGGTGGGAGGGAGAAAAGGGAAGGACTGCCTCCTGTGCAGGTCTCACTAAAGCCAGGCCAGGAGTCTCAGGGCTGATCTCAACTGTGCATACCCTCAACTCATTGTCCCCTCATTCCTAGCTTCTCAGGGATAGTGGGGGTAAATAAATGCAAACTAAATCTGTGGCCAGGAAATCGATTCCAGGTCATAGGAACCCCAAATATTATAGAATAGCATCGCTCCACAGGGTTTTCTCGGCTGTAATTAGAAGCAGTTAGCCAAGCCTTTCTTTGACAGCACTGTTGGGTGGGTTTGAACCAACAACCTTTAACCTCTCTGGGTAGCTACATGGAAGAAGCTTGAGGCTCACAAGGATGAAAAACAAACAAAAACCACCCTCCTGAAAATGGAAGGAGCTCTGGTAGTGTAATGCCTAAGGCACTTGACTGCTAAGCAGAAGGCTGGTGGTTCAACCCCACCAGCCACTCCTCAGAAGGAAGGTTGGGCAATCTACTTCCATAGTGATACTTTCCATGTTGACATGTGGCCACACCATGCTCC